AAAGCAATAAGTCGGCAGACTGCACTTCGTGCAGTCAGCCGCCTTAATTACGCAGTGTGGGGATAGGAAATGCGTAAATGGCTATAAAAGATGCCATTTAAGAGCTGAACTACGTGACAAAAAAACCAATCTCTGCTCATTGATCAGAGTAGATAACTAAAAGTCAGTTCAATATAAAGAACTTTGTTTTGTAAAGATAATTACATGGCTGGATGTAGATATTGCCTCTACAAGATCTATAGAGGAATGTCAAACATTTCTTCTCATAACTTGTTTATGTAAATCTTTCATGTTTGAAGTCAAAAAACTAAGACAAATCAAACAGGAACCTCTGTTCATTCCACTATGTCTAGCGTATATATCCTCACTCTCAGCTTCTTACTTTGGTTTTTTTTCTAAACTTTTTTCTAAAATCGGTAGAATGTAGTGTTATATAGATAGCCCAACGGTTTTCATCACTATCGTAATCGCAATAGAAAAATGTTAAATAGTTGGCAAGATGAAATTACTCTTTTTTAATCAGTAACAGTAATGCTAAATTGAACTAACTATTCTTTTCTAAAGAGCAATTTCCTGACGGATGCTGACTGTGATGAGATAAAAAGTGATGATTTGATAAGGCATAATATTTTTTCATCATGTTACAATGGGAGTAGCTGCCTAATTCGAGTTATAATATAAATGAAAATTTCAAAAACATGTCCCGTTCAGTCAATGCACAAAAATGCAAAAATCTTTGTGCTATCAATTACAGTCCAGACAGGACTTACGCATAAATGCGACACAAATCCACCAAAAGTAACTATAGATTATAACTTATAAATGAGATAGGACCTTTCTATAACTACGGCAGAAAAGCAGAAAAAAAATTTACAGATTATAATTTATAATTGAAATGCGACAGTCCTATAACTAGGCAGAAAAGCAGAAAAAAAATTATCAATTATAATTTATAACTGGAATGTGACAGTCTTATAACTGCGGCAGAAAGGTAGAAAAAAAATTTCATACATTTTAAATGGGATAGGACTTACCCAAACTTGAGTAGCTGCCTAATTCGAGTTCGAATATAAATGGGAAATGAAAAAAAATTGCACCCAAGTTGAAGTGACAAAAAAAAAAAAGATAAAATTTTATTCTAATTATAAATTTATAATTTGAATTGAAACACCCATATAATTCTGGCAAAAAAGCAAAAGATAAAATTGTATGTAATTCGAAACAATAAATTTGTCTAGTGTACAGCTTTAAACTTGAATTCGATGGAGGTCTCAAGTTTCAAGTTTCAAATTTGACGCTTAAACTTACAACATTAAAGGGTAGGTGTGGGTGTGGGTGTTTTCATACTGACCCACGCCCACACCCTGCACGAACATACAGTGCATTGATAATTAAATTATCTCTGTTATTCTTCGTAGGGGGGGCTGAGCCACCTCTAGCCCCCCTCTGGTTACGCCACTAGAATGTATGTAAATACGTCAATACAGATAGCTGAAAAACATTTTTCTGTTGTTATATAGCATTATTTTCACTGATAGAAACCTTTTTTCCGCTGAATTTTCATTTTTCCAAAGGGAATGTATGTATATATATGCATATTTATCCATTTATCTGTAGATCGATATTCATCATGAATAGGTGTCTTAGCTCAGTATTGTTGTAATATTTTTCTTGATATGGAAAATTGCATTTTTGACGTGAATAGCATCTTTCAGCTGAAAATCATCATTTTCCCCACGGATCAGATTATTGTCCACTGCTGATGACAATCAATCAGCAAAAATCTTCAAACAATACTTTCTTTCTATGGTTGTTTTTTTTTTGTTTTAAACTTATTTGATTATTATACTTTTCAGATGCTTACGAAATATTTTTTATCTTAAAATTTCATTAAATATGATTTTTTTTCTGAAGCGATTTATATGTAATAATGATGCACATAATGGATACAAATATAAAAGTAGGAAAATGATTTGTTTAATAAACTCAATTGAAATTCTTTATTCGACTGCTGATTAATTATTTACAGTGCACCTCAATAATATTTCCCCCCTATGTATTTCTAACTTTAAACTACTATAGTTCGCTCTTTTTTAAATAATGAGTATACAGCGAGAAAGTACAGACTTCACTGCATCATATGGTCGATTGATCATAAGTAACGAGTGCAAATTAGACGACAACAAAATACATCAGAAGACACGATGATGGTTTTTTTTCGACAATTAATGTTTCATCTGGGTTACGAAAAAGAAAATATTTATTTATGTAAACGGTCGATCATAATATACATCAGTCTCACTTGCAATAGCGCATTTGCGATATACATTCTTGATCTCTCATCTCGATAAAGATAAGAAAGTTTCTGAAAGTAGCAATAGAAGATTTGTTGTTGTCAATGGATATTGTCTTCGAGTAACTTCTTTGAATCCATGCCGAATTGTAAATATATGTGCTATATTCATTCAGTACAGATATAGACAAAGAGACAGATAAAAAGAGAACCGAGAAAATGAATAAAAATAGAAAACGAATTTAATATTTTTTAGAACCGCGATCCTGAACATAAGGAAATATGTATCAACTCCATGCTGAAGTTTTTGAGATTTCGACTAATAAAGTGCCGTCACTGTATTACTTTAGTTAACTAGATGCATTTATGAAAGTAAGCTTTTACATATTCAAATAGTCATTGAACTTTTATGGGATAAAGTGAAAAAAAACAATAGGAAGATAAAAATTAGATTTGCTCGTATTACAAATTGTCGAAAAAAAAACATCATATTTTCTTCTGACGTAATTTTTTTTGTCGTCTGATTTGCATTCGTTACTTATGATCAATCGACCATATGCTGCAGTGAAGTCTGTACTTTCTCGCTATATACTCATTATTTAAAAAAGAGCGAACTATAGTAGTTTAAAGTTAGAAATACATAGGGGAGAAATATTATTGAGGTGCACTGTAGGTTTTAATATGAGTTATTAGTAAATTTTTATTATTTTTTGTTTTTTTTTTAAATTCATTCTGAATATAAATGAAGGAATTATACATTTAATATGATAAATAGTTATCTTACTGGTGAAGTAGTTAAAATAATATATATATCAAAAAATGCAGAAGACTTTATTTTAGAGGAAAAAACCTATCACTATCAATATAAAGGATTGTGTATTTTGTCTATCGAGAAAAATTTGCTGAAAGTTTTAATAAAGCTAATCTTTTTTGAATATTTCTTTTTGTTCTAGAAGTTTGAGGAGGAAATATTTAGACTCAGTATGTAAAACTAAATCTAAAATCATGGATTTAAGACTATTTTAATATGATCGTAACATGAACAAGGAATACTCGAGTTCTAAGGATTATTGAAGTATAAATTAATTTTGTTTTTTTTCTTTTATATCTCTTGATATAAATAATACTTTCAATAATAGCATGAGCTCTATGTAATCTGCAGAGAGTTTGTCTTGAAAAATCTATTTAAAAACAAAGGAAAACTAATGAAATTAATGTCTTATTTAATATATGATAAATTAAAGACTTCATTAAAATATAGAATAATAGTCTTAAAAAGAAAACAAAAAAAGAAATATCCTAATAAAATAAAATCATGTCAAACATCATATTTTCTAATTGTGAAATTTTTCTTACCAACATAATGAATTATTAGTAGCAGAAAAAAATACATCCTACGTATAAGCTAAAACAAAAAAAACGCATAGCCATTTTGTAAGTGCTTTGTTTCTTTGCTTGATCGATCAAAATCGTCGCATGCTTATAATCAAAGGTTATGTTTAACTAATCAATCACGCTTTTTTGAATACTACATGCAAAAATAAGGTAGACGTACGTCAAAGATACAATGAGTACCAAAATTGATCAACAAGCAGAACGCACTTTTCTGGTGAATTCATATTTCAACAACTATATGAGCTGTAATGGCTCAAGTTTATGCATATTGTAGCCCATATCATCTAGTATATACATACAAAATTTCAAGTCAAACCATCCTTCTGTTCTATAGTTATTGAACAAACAATCAAAAGGCATGATTTTGGACTGTTGTAAAATTGATCAACAACTCGTTATGATTAAATACAGGATCATTTTAACTTAAAATTTTCTTTATAGTAGACCATTGGAAAGAACGAATTTGAGGTGGGTGTGGGTGTGGGTGCGCGTCTTCGTAAAGAGATGCTCACACTCCGTTATTCTCATGAGACTGATCGAGTTCTCATCTAAAGAAAGAGGTTTGTCTCATTGATTTATTATTTTTTTTGAAGCAATAACTGATTGACATTCTTCAATTCTAGAATAGATAGATAAAGTTTTTATTCTCTGTTTTCTAGATTATAATAAAGAAAAATCTAGCAACTAATGAATGATGTCGAATAATTCGTTCAATGCTGATCTTGACAGTAATCTTAATTATATTTTACTTTTTCGTCTTATTGTTTGGGGTTATTTCGGAATGGTTTTAAGTCTCTTTGGTATTATTGGAAATATCATTACCATGTTGGTACTTATATCTCCATCAATGCGTACTACATCGACAAATATCTATTTGACAGCATTATCATGTTCAAATATACTTTTTCTTCTAATGTTTATACCATCATATTCGATAAGATATTTATTAGATTATCGATTGTATATGACAAATCAACCTCCATCTGCATTTGAAATATTATTAATACGTCTCCCAACAACTCCTGTATATAATACTATTCTTCTTTCAATGATTTATATAACAATAGCTGTATCAATGGATCGTTTAATATTAGTAAAATTTCCATTAAAAGCCAAACGAATGTTAACACAATGTACGACATTAATAACTATATTATTAATTTATATTTTTTGTATTGTTTATTGTATGCTATATTGGTTAGAACAACGTTATATACCTGAATTAAAACAATGTCGTTTAACAAATATTGGTAAAAAAATTTATAAATATACACGTATATATCTTTATATACCTGTTTTTTTATTTAATACCATTTGTAACATTAACATGTGTAAATGTAACTATAATACAAAATTTAATTGCTAAAAAACGTCGTAAAAAAAGTTTATGTGGAGCAGCTAATAAAAAAAACCGAACTGATTATCATATAACATTAATGCTTATTACAATGATTATTGCTTTTGTTATATGTCAATTACCATTATTAATACTTAATGTATGGTATGCTATTGATCCTCATGGTGCATATTATAATCATTTATTTCATAAATTAAATTCAATTGGTATATTACTTATTGTATGTAATACATCAACAAATTTTTTACTTTATTGTTTTTTTGGACAAAAATTTCGACAAACATTAATTGAATTTATTTTACAAATTCTACCAAAACAATATAAACAAACAAATATACAAAAACGATCATCAAAATTAATTCAACTAGAACGAAAACAATCATTAGAAAGCATTTATGAACAAAAACAACGAATATTATCAAAAAATTCTGTATCAATAACAAATTCTTTAAATCATAATAATATAAAATCAAATGAATTAAATCAACAAATAGTAAATGATAAATCAAATCAAAATTCACTTCAAAGTACATCAATCAATCAAAAAGAATCATATCCATTAACAGGGTCGGCGCGACTGGAGGGGTTACCCTCTCTCTGCTCCGGAAAATTTTGACTGAAATTTTCTCCGATTTTTGGAGAAAATTGCCTAAAAACATTCTTCAAACTTGAATTCTCTCCAATTTTGAAGGCATATATAAAAAAAAACTTTTTCCAAAATCGAAGAAAACTGTTAAATGCCTTTCTACAATATGGGAGAAAATTGCTTAAAAAATGTTCTCCAAACTTGAATTTTGTCCAAATTTATAGAAAATTGTTCCGTATATTTCTCCGAAAGCAGAAAAATCCAATTTCGGAAAAAATGATCAGGCAATTTTCTCTCATTTTGGAGAAATTCATTAGAAATTTTTTCTAAATCAGAAGAAAATTCAAGTTGTGAGCGATTTTCTTCAATTTTGGAGAAATATATTATACAACCTTCTCTCATTCAGAGAAAACTTCAGTTTGGAGAGCAATTTTTAACTTTCTCCGATTTTAGAATTGATCCTCCCTTCTCCCCTGCTCCGACCTCTTTGCACCGTCCCTGTCCATAAATAACAAAATCTGAACAAGTATTAATAATGAATGAAAATTTTTCATTAAATTTTGAACAACAATTTCGTTTATTTACAAGTGCAAATGGAAAACGATCTTCATAAAAAAAAATTGTACAAAAACGCGTTCCAACGCAAACTTTTAGAGAAAAACGTTATTTTTGCGTTTAATCGCATCTTTTTTTGTCTGAAACGTGTCTAAACGCATCGGTTTTGGTTTACGACGCGTTCAAATGCATCTTTGTTTATTCACAACGCGTTTTTTCAATTTAAAATGCCACCCAAAAACATTGTTCGAACATGTTTTATTTTAAGCGTTGCGACGCGTTTATTTGTCATGCATGTGAATGCGTTTTTTTCGAGTTCTTTCGCTGAACATACGAACTTTTTACAAACACACTTAAAGGCATAGTTCTTAACGCGTTTTTTGTGAAAAACGGTTTTTTTTTAAATAAAGATGTTTGAACGTGTATTTTAATGCATGCTTTTTCTTGTAAAGGGTGTGAGTGGGTGTGGGTATGGGATAAAAGAAGAACTGCACCCACAACCCACACCCACACCCTACGTCTACAATTACACCAAATCCATACCTACATCACACCTTAGTTCCAAAACATTCTGACCTCATTACCTTGCATTTTTTTTCTCCATTTTCTGTTTCAACATTTTGTTTTCCACAATATGCTTTTCGACATTTTCACTTTCGGCATTTTTTATTTCTGCAATGCGTTTTTCTGCGTCCTGCTTTTCGACATTTTGGCTTTCGACATTTTTCCTTTCGACCTTTAACCACCTATTCGATATAAAAGAATTCTCGTAATGTTAACGAATCAAAAGTCATTCATGTCAATTTTATGTATTCATAAAAGTGCACAAATAGTAAAACAAAAGTTGCTCGATTTTAGAAATGAAGCCATTGTCACAGACCGGGACCGGGACCGGGTTTGGAAAAAAATTTGACCGGGACCGGAACCGGGACTGAGAAAAGAAATTGACCGAGGCTGGATTGGAACTGAAAAAAGCGATTTTGCAGATCCCTAGTTGAAAAGCAATAACATCACAATTTTATCCATTTAATAATGATTATTTATGTGTAGCATGTTGTGAACAACGTTTTCCACGTAAACGTTGTGCTAAATGTAATTCAGCGATAACGTCAGCTGGTATTACATTTACTGGAGCTTCTTATCATGCGGCTTGTTTCTTGTGTATGTATTCACAAAATAATATTCTTTAAAAAAGAAAAAAAAGAAATAATTGATCAAGAATATTAAACATATTTCAAAACATAACAATCTAAGAAATAGTTAGATTTATTTATCTGTAACTTTTAGATAGAAAGATGCTACCGTTTTATCAGAACCATTGTAAGATGATACTCTACATTATGATAATTGCGACACTATTACATAGAAGGATAAAGACGAAAATTCACTTGTTTCAAATAGAACTTTCTTCTGATTTAGTTTTCATATGGAATTAACCTTGATAACTGCTTCATTTAACTAAGCTTTTAATAGAATAACCTCGAAATAAATAATGATTATTAACAAGTATAATGACTCTTATTCAAAGAAAATCTTCACAAAGTAGACTAGAGCATAGAAGGAGTTGGGTTAAGTCCAGCTTCCACATTTTTCACGTTGTGTCTTCAGAAAATTCGAGCAGTTATAGAAAAACTGTCTACTAAGTTTAATAATATAACTTTTCTCATTCTTTTTTTGCCGTTGACCATCTGTCAAATTTTTCATATCCTGTCACTTCAGTAAACTATCGAGAGCTCTAGACAAGAGCTAATATTCCTCGGTAATTGATTATCAAGACATATTTTGTCTACATATCATTAGATCTTGTTTGTAACTGACATGTAAAAATTTGAAGATTATTTTTTTTCATCAACAAATTTCCGAATTAATAAGTTGTAACCATTCAAGTTAAAATCGAATATAAAATAAATAAACAAAAGTTTCTATTCTTTCTGTTTTTTTTGTCAATGAATATTTCGATATTTATTTATGCAAAATTTTAGGTATAACATGTAAACAACCAATATCGGCTCATGTCAGCCGAAAATATCAATGGTTGATAGTCAACCATGTTGTGCTAAATGTTATGAAGATAGACATGCAAAACGATGTAGTCTTTGTCAGAAAGTTATTATTGCTGATGTTGAATATCTTGAATTTGAAGATAAATATTGGCATAAAGAATGTTTTACATGTTCAAATTGCCAGGTAGAAAAAAAAATTATTTTTTTTATTTAATTTTCTAATTTCTATTTTTATATTCTGTAGAAAGGTATTGCTGAAGAAAGTTTTTATCAAGATGGGAATTTAATTTTATGCAAAGACTGCAGTTAACTATTGAAGAAAAAAAAATTTGATACTTTTAAATCAACTATTTCTTTTTGTTTTCAAAAAATTTTATGTTTACGTGTGTGTGTGTATTCGCTTTCAAAATTATATTGCTTCTGCCATTTGACTCTTTTCTTATTCGT